AACTCAGGAGGTGCCCACGGCTTCTGTGATGAGCAGATCTGCCGATCTCAGCTTTGAGAAGCCTTCAGCTCCAGGGAATCCAAGCCTCCACAGCGAGGGCAGCTGCTATTTATTTTCCTAAAGAGAGTATTTTTATACAAACCTACCAAAATGGAATAAAAGGCTTGAAGCTGTGGCCTGAGCGCCTCACCGGACCCCAAGGCCAATGGGAGAGTATTTGAGCCCTAAGTCCCAGCCTTAGCTCTACAGACTCACTGCATGACCTTGGACAAATTATTTGATATTTTTGGACTTTGTCTTATCTGACAAGTGGGGCTACATCCGCTCGGTCTCATCTCCAGGACTGAGAGGAGAGAGTCCTCTGGGGTAAAAGCGAAGAGGCTTACCGTCCCTCTTCCCGTGGGGGCCCACAGTGCTGTTGCGTGTGCCACGGTGGGGCGCTGTTATGCCCCCTTCCAGCCTCAGAGGAGGGGGCCGAGTGGTTCTAAGCCCCCAGCAGCTGCTTCCTGCCCCATTGTCTTGAACAGGAAGGAGCCGGGAAGGGAGCTGGAGCCACTTCAGGGGCTGGATTCTGGCCGGTCCCGGCGCCCGATGGGGGAAGTCTGGTTTACCACTGCCCCGCATCCCACCCCAGGCTCGAAGTAATGGGGGAATCATTAGTTCTGCAGTCCTTCTGGATGGGAATGGTACCCTGTTTCAGCACCCCACCCTCGCCCCAACCCCGGCGAGTACCAAACAGACGCTGCCCAGGCCGCGGGCTCCGCTTCCGTCCGGGTTTATTACCCCCAATTCAACCCCCAGCAAGTCCCTCCGCTCCAGCCTTCAGTCCCCCTGCTGCCCTGCCAGCAAGAGCGAGGGGCCCTTCTCGGTATCAGGATTTCTGAGTCCATGCCAGCGGCCCCTCTTGCGCAGCCAGGACGGCGTCCAGGTCCCGAGGTCCACAGCTCGGGGAGCAATCCAGGCGGGCATCGGCGTGGAGGAGGCAGTGCCTTCAGTCATCGGGGGAACAGGCCAGGGGCAACTGATCCGGACTGCCCACGCTGCCGGTGCTGGAGCTGCCATCGCCTAAGTCGCGGGGCCCACATGGGGGCAGAGCAAGCTCGGGTGCTGGCCCGGCGCCTGAGCCCCCCGCGCCACCGGGGCCGCCGCGGGGGCCCCATTCTTCGCCCAGCGCCAGGCAGAGCTCCTTAAGCGCCAGGTTCTCCCGCAGCAGCTCCTCCTGGCGGCCCTCCAGCTCGGCCAGCTTCTGCCAACAGCCGCCCAGGTCCTCGCGCACTGCCCGAGATGCTTGGGTCCCGAAGAGCTGCCACTGGCGCGCGGCGCGCCGCCCGCGCTGGCGCTCCGCGTCCAGGAAGCAGCAGAGGTCGCGCAGCTCACGGTTTTCTGCCTGCAGACGCCGGTTGAGCTGCTTGAGTTCGCGGATCTCGCCCAGGTGGCCCTGCAGCTGCCGATTCACCTCCTGCATGAGGCGGCCACGCTGCACCAGTGCCGCCAGGCGCGCCGCCTCCTCCCTCCGCAGGCGCCGCACTAGCTCTTCCTTGCCCAGCGCCGCCATCTCCTCGTCCGTCAGCTCCTCCAGGCCGCCTGCCTCGGCCTCCATGGCTGGTCAGGCCGCTGGAGCATCGCCTGCCCGCCGCCGCGACCCAGGAGCCCCACGTCGGGCCCGGCGCCACTCAGGGTCGGGCTCCGGCTCCGCGCGCAGCAGGCAGTGGCCGAGGCAGCGTAGGCTGCAGCAACTACCCCAGCTGGGCACGCGGCGGGGCGCGCGCCGGGGCGGGGCCGCACGACGTTATGGAAGGACAGCCAATCCGGTGAAAAGTCCCCGGAAAGGGGCGGGGCCTGAGTTCAGGGGGCCCTTTCCCCACCCACTCCTAGTGTTACTGATCCTCGATGTCAAGGAAGGCCCGCGTCATCGCCCTCCGCACCGGTCTCAACCCGAAACTAGGAGCTTCGAACCTCCAAGTACCAGATCGCCCTAAGCTCGAGCCTAGGCCTCTCGGCTCTTCTGAGAACCAAGACTCAGGCGTCCACCCCGGACTCCTGCCCATCCCCGACGGAAGTCAGATGGACCGCTCTCCAGTCCCTCTTTACCTTTGATCAAATTCGGAAGTCTGGGCTCACTAAGGATTGCTCCCGGTTCCTCGGAACCCTAAGTCCAAACGTTCTAGCTCACCGTTAGACTACTATCCCTCCCAGGGAGCGTTTCTTGCCTGGGGGGAGGAACATACAGGATTCGTTTGTTCAATAAACGTTTTTTATGTGCAAGGCCCATGCAGAAATAAATTTAACCAAAATACTGATTCCATCCTCAAGGGATGGAAAGTCTGTCCGGGAAGACAAGCTGTGTTAAACAAGAAACAAATCGGGGAGAAGTATGGTCTGAGGGTCCTTAAGAGGATTCCCAAAAGGGATGCTATCCAAGAGGCTCTGGTAGATCCATAGGACTTTGCCCAGTAAAGAGCTATTTCAGGGAGAGAGAATAACAAGGTGAAAAACACTGGTGCCCGAAAGAGCTTAGCTGCTTTAGGAAAAATGAGGATAGCTTGATGGTTTTTGAAAAGCAGATGTGTCCAGAAAACGCGAGAGAGACAGAGAGGCTTCAAGGGTAGGTAAAAGCCAGATTCTTAAGAACTTCCAGTACTAGGTTGGAGCATTTCCAAAGGCCAGTAAGGATGTTAAGCAAGGGAGTAACATTTGTAAGGATGTTAAGCAAGGGAGTAACATTCTAAGATGTGCATTTGGCCGGGCGCGGTGGCTCACGCCTGTAATCCCAGCACTTTGGGAAGCCGAGGCGGGCGGATCACGAGGTCAGGAGATCGAAACCATCC